TCTTTTACCAACGAATAGTGGGATTGACCGTCACATTATAACGCCCCCACGGCTGAAAGGGCGAACATGTTTGGTGGGGTTATATATCTATACTTTATTTAAAATTTTCTATCATACATTTTTTTATCGATGCTTCACTTTATAATATTTTAGTTATAGTTAGAGTTATACTTCTTTAAAATCTGTAAATATGACGATATATATTTCTTTAGTATAAGCTGATTGGAACCAGCAAAACTTCTCTGATAACATGGCCTTTTGGTGATCATACCGTTAAATGCTCTATACATAAGGCTAATGGATAAGGCTGTTACTTCCTGTCTCAACGACAACAGTCTATTTTGTCGTGTTCCCACACAGCGACAGACTACATTAGTTCATTTTTTGTTAGTTCTTAACAGGAAATTCTTCCTCTGAAGAAAGTGGCTTATTTCTAGAATTCATTCGAAATCTCTCAGTTCTTTTGTGTATGCTGTTAGTCCAACTGTGCAGGAATCAGAGGAGAGTAATGTCTCTTTTAATGGACAAATATTCTTTGTATGAAATGTACAACCACTTGGTGTGTTGTGATAAAAAACGGATATTTTTGTCAGTCTTTTTTTTTTCGTTTGACTTTGTTACCGATGCAATCTTTTTTCAGTTTATACATTATTCAATTTGACAAACGAATACATTGGTTCCCATGCTCCATTAAACACATACTGACTTCGGAAGTGATTTATGAAAGTCCTTCTTCAGTTGTCCAGTTTGTAGACATTAATATAAAAAAGAAGTTTGTGGCATTTTTTTGAAATTCAGATACAGAAAAGTTCAATATTAAATAAATAATAAGTAACCTGGATAGCTTGGACTGTCATAAAACAGTGTTTAGAATATCTTCACCTGAAGAAATATCCTTCATTTTTATTCCATTGCATTGAACAAAGAACGTTTGTTCAGCGATGATGTTCACAAAATGTCAGAATTACCGAAAAAGGCAATGAACATATTAAAACCTTTGGGTATAATAAAGTTACTGAAGGTTTGCAGTTACCCCTGTCCAAGAATAGGCCTTGAATGTGCATGTTTGTGTAAAGTCGGCGTCACAGTTGAGAAAATTGAAAATAAAGAATTAATTATGAGAGGATTATTTATAGACCGCAAAAAAAGAAAAGAAAAAGAAATGGTCAACATAGGTCACTTTCGACAACCCCTGGCTACTTTGATCAATATGCCAGGATTTTTGGCATGAGTTATAAAGCTCCAATTGACGATGATCTCACAACTAACCTTATTAAAGAGCGGATCTGTTTCAATGATAAAAGCTCCAATTGACGATGATCTCACAACTAACCTTATTAAAGAGCGGATCTGTTTCAATGATAAAAGTTACAATTGACGATGATCTCACAACTAAACTTATTAAAGAGCGGATCTGTTTCAATAACATATTTCTACGTGGGAGACACTTACAAAACTTTAAAAACATAAATTTCACCTACATAAAATAAATGTACCAACTTTACACTTACTTTTACATCTTTGACGTTGGGTTGTTATTTGCTTATCATCAGATTGAACGAATTAATATTTTCTCCAACAGGAGCTTCTGATGAGGAAAATTAACGGTAAACTATAGTTGGGATAATAATGCAGAAAATCGAAACTTTTTATCAAATAATTAGCTTGCGATTGTCCATCAGCGTCACCGCGCGATCTCTTTCTCAACTAAAGGACCTGCGACTATGGAGGTAGCACAAGTTGAAGAAGTTGTGTAAAACATTGACAAAATATAGTTGTTGGTTTTTGTTAAGCGCAAAGCTACACAGTGGACTATTTGTGCTCTGCCCAGCACGAGTAACGAAAATGTAGTGTCTTCAAGGTTAACTAAATATTAAACATGCCCATTTAATTAACCAATTAAATAGGTTGAATAAAAAATAAACAGGTATTTTGTAAGAGGGTAAGTAAAATAAATTCTGGTTTTATTAGAGGGAAAATTTTATCTAGTAATGAAGCCAAGACAGTATTTAGGACTAAAGCAACATTTAGTATTTACAAACTTTATCTTCATTACCACTGGACCTTCAAGTAAGCAATAACCTACGTTCCTCCAAGAAGTCCCCCAACGGTTTCTTTGTTTGTTTGAAGTGAAGCACAAAGCTACACAATGGGCTATTTGTACTCTGCCCACCACGATTATCGAAACCCGGTTTCTAGCGTTGTAAGTCCGCAGACATACTGCTGTGCCAATGGGGGTCTCCCCCGATGGGTCAACTGTAAGTTTAGAGACTTGCAACACTAAAATTTGGGATTTGAATCCCAATGGTGGACAGAGTGTAGACAGCTCATTAGGTACTATTAATTTAGAATACAACAAAAACAATATGACAATAACAATCAATCAATTTTTCTTGTCCTCAAATAGTGCTATTTCATCCTAACACAGCCCGGCATGGCCAAGTGGTTAGGGTGCTCGACTCGCAATCTACGGGTAGCGGGTTCGAATCTCCATCACACCAAACATGCTCGCGCTTTCAGCCATGAGGGCGTTACAATGTGACGGTTAATCACATTATTCGTTGGTAAAAGAGTAGCTCTTACCTCTTGTCTTACACTGTTAAATTAGGGACAGCTAATGCAGATAGCCCTCGTGTCGCTTTGAGCGAAATTCAAAACAAACAAACAATCATCCTAACCACCCTCTTTGTCGTCAATACTAAATTTTTTGTCCAAGCTGAAATAATTAAGTATATTAATGGTTCATGTAGGATATTCTAAGCAAGTAATACGTATAGGTAGTAAATAAAATGTATTTGATTATTAGTGTCACAGCTCTTCTTACTATTTTTATTTATCATATAAATATGTAGCTCTACAATCAAAGTTACAAATTCATTTATCCACTCTAGTTGCATATAATTTGAAAATAACTTTTCTTCAAACTAGATTTTAGTTTTCAACATTTATTTAATTCCATATTTTAATAAAATTCTTCATGAGATTCTTGCCCCAGAACTGTATTTTAGTAACGTAATAGCGTAAAAGCCCGTCAAGAATGACGGGAAATCACTGGAAACCAAAACTATTCCGTATAAAACTGGCGCCCCCAGCGGACTTACAACGCTAAAAACCGGGTTTTTATACCCGTGGTGGGCAGAGCACAGATAACCCATTGTGCAGCTTTGTGCTTAACTTAAAACAAACAAATAAAACTGGCAAAACACAGAAGAAATATAAAATTTCCTTTCCCAGGAACATGCTACATATTGCTCCTGAATCCACTACACAAAACTGAGCAAACATGCTACATACTGGTACCTTTAGATAAAAGATTAAAATATACAATGACCATTTGATTGCATACACACCTGTTCTTGGGGGAAAAGTAGCCCTTTTCCCTATAGATAATTGATATCTTCAGTCTCTTTTAACAAATGTTTTTTCGTAATAATTCCCAAGCATAGATGTGCGCTATTTTTTATTTATTTTTCACAGTCGTTGATAGGGTGCGAATGCACTTCCTTGTCTTCGATCACAGGAGTCTTCCCAGCTTTCCTATTCGGATTCTACCTAGCTTGACGTCATAATGATGCGGATGATGTGGTGTCACACACATAACGCCATGATTGATATGGTTCTGGAAACTTCCTCATTGACAGGCTTTTATATAGCAGAAAAAGTACCTTAATTTTAGAGATATTTACACCTCTGTTAGCGATTAAATTCAACTAAAATGGGAACGGGCAATCAAAAGAGGAAGTATTATAAGAGAAAAAGTGGAACTGGACTCTTGTAACTCACGAAATTCGAAGATATCGAACATGACCGACTGACTGACCGACCGATACTTGGCTTTTATATATAATGATGGAATTAAAACTTAGTTTGAGGGAATAAATATTTACAAATTATTCACCAAAAATGGCATAACACCCATTAGCGCGGCCCACTGGTTAGCCTGCCACCTGTGGAGCTGAAGTTTCAGGGTTGGCGACCCGTTATTGCCAAAAAAAGGTCCTAATTTTGAAACTATGGATGTGTTATAAACGTGTCTGTTAAAATCCCACTATTCGGTCTGAAAAGAGTAGACTGAGAGTTGGCGGTGGGTAGTGTTGACTAGCTGCCTTCTCTCTAGTCTATCACTTCAAAATTAGGATGATTAGCGCAGATAAACATCGTGTAACTTTTTATAAAATACAACAAACCTTCCTACACAGTAATCTTTATTTGAGTTATACTTTTTTATTCTTTCTCCCACTTCTTAGCCCCCCCCCCAGTGGCACAGCGGAATGTCTGCGG